CTTTTCATTACTGTTGTGCTTGGGAACAACCTCTCTATCTCCGTGAGATAGGTGTAAGGTCTGCGTACACACTACTCTTCCTAGACCCCACTATGTGGGATTGCACTGGGTTTTTTGTTGTTGTATACACAACAACCTTTTCAAAAAAAATACTAAAACACGACAATATCTTTCTTTAAAGGGATGTTTGTGTAAAAACAGAGCTTAGGATTACAAGATTACAAGGGAAATTCTTGAATGTGTGAAAATTTATCATTTGAAGTTTGTTTGGTTACCGAAAAAAAAATTCAAAATAAGGGAAAGTAAGTGTCATATCTTAATATCTTAAATCACAAGGGAGGTAAGTGTATGATAGCCGAAGGGAGGTCTTTGAACTATTTCTGGACTTAATTTTTTGCGACAAGTGCTATATATATCATTAACGTTATTTGCTATTCTATACCATTATTCAATTTTCTCAGACAGTCCTTATGATGTTTCTTGCAAGAATTGTTATTGAACTGTGTCTATCTTATACTTTTGCAGGAAATCTGCAAGGATGTCTTCAGCAAACACCTAGAGGTTCCACTCTTGGTTGTTGTGAGCTATGGCTGTAATCAATAACTTCAAGTTTTATCATGGAAGTCGCTTACCTCGATGATATTGGAATATAAATTGGATCTTTCATTCTCAACAGTATTTATGTTGTTAATCTATATACAAGTGTTCTATTGTTAGAATGGGATTCTAGAGGAGGTTATGGTGGTAATGGGAGAGTTGTCACACCTGCAGATTGCTGAGGTTGCCTAACCAGTTTGACTTGAAAACATGTGCTGGAATTTAATTCATATCTATGCGCATAGTTTGAGCAAGTAGGCAAAGATTGTGCGATGTCCTGCACAGCTGGAACTGGTTTTACAAAGCGAGTTTGATTGGTGGTAGGATTGCATATTGTAAACTCTTTTAGGAATCTTAAGTTAAAATGGAAATGGGGGTGTACATATTTTCCCATTCTTCTTTCAGGGAACTGTTTTGCAAAGCATTTGTATGTATTTTCCTGAAGTCCAGCTACTAGGATTGATTGATGAATGTATTGTCTGAGCTCTCGAGTCCAGCCTCTGGTATGTCTCGAAATGCCACTACGTGTTGGTCTCCTCCTGCTGATTCGTCTTGATTGATTTTCTCTGAAAATTTTGACAGCTATATGGATTATAGACGGTTTTTGTGCATGTGACACCCCCTCTGTCCAGCTATATGAAGAGTTTTGTTTTGGTACATTGTTACACCCCATGTTTTCGTACGTAAGAATACGCCTTTAGTCAATTGATATAAGCTCAGAAATGAGATCATGTTTGAAAGTACATAAAGTAAGTTAATCATGTTACTATAGAGGTTACAAATATTTAAGATCGTGAATACCAAATACCAAGAGGGTTGGAAGGTTAAGAAGCTAAATAAATTGAAGAAAATAAGTTTCGTCGAATGTCGGCAAGTTGGGAACGTTATAACGTGTACTTTTGTGATGAGACTAGGGTGCTTACCAAGATAAGGAGGTTATGTTATGAGTTATTTTAGTCGTATGATAGTCGTGTGTTATGATTTCAAGCCGAGCAAGTTGTGGAACAAAAGTTGGCAGGTCATCACAAGTTACATTCATAAATGTGCTGAAAATTAGGACAAATGTAGATGCGATTTTCTCCCAATTTACTTCGAATTATGGGGTGATCTTTCTACCAAATTGAAGATCTATGAGTCTAGTTTCTAACGCATTAAACCATTCGTCGATACAACATCGGAGTAGAGAGATATTCGTATTTTTGCGAGACTGCGCAAACAGCTTTCTATGGGACCCACAATGGCGGTTGATATATATATATATATATATATATATATATATATATATATATATATATATATATATATATATATAAAAGATGCCTCAACCCCGTTTTAACTCATTCTTTTACAGTATCTTCAGACCCTAGACACCTAAAAATACTCTCTCAAGGTTCTCTCATGATCCAAGACCCAAACAAAGGGCAAACAACACAAATCAAGTGTCGAGAATCCCGTCGCGCTAGTAAGTTTCTTGTTCTTCTTATTGTTGCTGATTTTTGGGTGGTTCCAGCATGTGGGAGGCTGTTTAAATGGTTTAAGTTCTGCAAAATACTCTCCCAAGGTTTTCATATCAACCCTAGGTTATTTCAAGTCTTGCAAATGGATTACACCATATTTCAACATCAAAAGTTAGTTCTAATGAAGAACAACACCTTTTTTAGGTTGTGTTGTCATTGAGGATAGTTGTGGGCTGTGTTTAGCTGAAATTTCAAGTTGTTGCTACTGGCTAAGTTGAGAATAATAGACTACTAATTGTGCTTGAGCTTGCTTGTATGTTGGTTAAGTTGGTTAGGATGAAAAACTACAAGATAATACTTGGATTAGCTTAAGTCACTTCTATGGTGTTGTATTGCCATTGAGGGCTGTTGTAAGCTAAATATAACTTGGATTTCAACTTGAAGCTACTGTAGAAGGTATTTGTATTGTGTTCTTGCATGTGCTTAAGGTTATCTTGATGTTGATTAAGTTAAATGGATGTACTAGACATGAAGTAGTGAATAAAGTTGCTAATTGAAGATAGTTGGAGTTGTGGATTGTTTCCTTTGTTATAAATATATGGTATAGGATGGAATCATTGATGAATGACTTCATTATCATGTTAATGATGCTGTTAAGTTAATGTAAGAAGTCTATAAGGGGTGATAATGGGGTTGAAGGGTGCTAAAGGGATTCAATCCGAGCTTGCCGCTCGTCGTGATATGTTAATGACTTGTTAATGAAATATTTGTACCCTATTGTTGATGTTGTTCGTATTGTATTGCTCTGGTTGTTGTTGGTATAGGTTATTGGAGGAGGCCCTTGTTACAAGGGAGATGCTGCCCCAAATTTACATAAAACGAGCTACTAGCTTAAGTTATAGACTTAGCATTTACTCAGCACTGATTTTGAATCTCCTTATGCTATGGTAGACTGAGTTGAGTTGTTTGAAGAGTTGCTTGGAAGATATTAAGGACTCAACGAGGTTAAGGTATGTTAAGGCTAAACTTTTCTTTCATTTTGGCATGATCCCGTAACTACATGTGTTTGATAACGAGACATGAAGAGAAGTTCATATTCCTGAATTTATATACACCGTTCTATCTCATAAGTTACGGCATTCTCCCTTATCGGGACTTCATATTCAGTTTAGTATTGTCTTCTTTCATCCAAGAGAGCAGAGAGTCTATATATATACAGTATTACAGTATTTTCACCACCATCGAGCTATAATCGATGGGCATGGCCCCATTGGGCAACCTCTGATCAGATGGTAAGTTATATACCGAGCCTACTGTGGCCGAGCACCTATGAGCGAGCCTAGAATAGCCGAGATACAAAGCCTAGTATGGCCGAGCGCCTATGAGCGAGCCTACTACGGTAGAGCAGTTACACATACCGAGCCTTATAAGGCCGGACAGCTATTTTACTTACTATATTGAGAGAGTTGAGTCAGTATCGGCAGGTAAGCATATCTTCAGATTATCTTTGACTCCCAGTTACTTTCAGCTATTATATTATCAATTCAGTTTCAGCTTTCAGTTATTTTGTTGCCTAACATACTCGGTACATTATTTCGTACTGACGTCCCTTTTGTCGGGGACGCTGCATTTCATGCTTGCAGGTCCTGATTGACAGTTGGACAGACCTTCCCGGCAGACAGAGAGTCAAACATCAGCTTGGTTGATAAGCTCCACTTCCTCGGAGTTACCAGATTTAGACCTTGGAGTCCGTTTTATATATATAGGTTTGATGGGTAGGCCGAGGCCCTGTCCCGACCATGGTACGGTTCATTTATCTCTAGAGGCGTGTAGACGAGTGCTGTATATTTTGTATATCAGTAGATGTTTATGGCGGCTTCGTCGGCCTGCACAATTATATATATCAGCTTTTAGGTATGTTTACCCTACAGATGAGAGAGGTGTTATTTTCAGACGATTCAGAATATGGCATCATCGGCCTAAGTTGAGGGTAACTCTTCTAGAGTTTACAGTTACAGAGTGGTACGCTCGGGCCGAGTATGGCACCGGATGCCGGCCATGCCTCTTCAGGTTTGGGGCATGACATACATGATCCCCTTGTTATGCTTTGAAGTACGTATGAGGCTTTTACTGCAATCTTAGACTAGAGAGTCCAGTAACAAAAATTTGTCGACCAACTGCCCCCATGCAGGCTACTTTATAATACGAGAGAAGTGAGGTAAGAAGTCTGTTTAGGAATGCCTTAGCCTTTTTTGTTTATTCGGTTAAAGACAAGTAGAAGACGCTAATTCAACCTTGACACTTATTTTCAAGTTGTGCAAGTTTCTTTCCTTTTGATGGTAAGTTTAAACTGAATTAATTTTATATACGATTGTGGTTTGACTAAAGTTCTGTGAAATTGGATGTTTTTGTTTGGTCTGCGTAAAGAGGGCATTACTTTGAAATAGGGATTTGAAGGAGGATATCACAAACAGCAAATTAGACATACATGGTACTGCATATTTGTGTAGAAACTTAGCCGTAGATCGGGCTTCTCTGTTTATCGTCCTATATCCCTTCTCCCTCAGGTGGCTTTCTTCTTTCTTTTTTGGTGGATGCGAAAGTTCCCATGTTCTCCTTCCTTCATGAGACTTTGGGTTCCTTTCTTGTGGGAAGACAAACAAATAACTATTTTAATGAAGTTCCAGGTAATTCCGAAAATTAAGCAGTCATGTGTAATAACTGAAGTGGTAGCAGTTAATGAAATACAACAATAATAAACTCAGTGTAATCTCATAAGTAGGGTTTGAAAAGGGTAGTGTACGCAAACCTTACCCCTGCCTTATAAAGGTAGAGAGGTTGTTTCCGATAGTAGCAGTTCATGAAGCTTACACTAAAAACCCCAAATTAAGGTCATACTCAGTAACCTTCTTCCCCTTTCGTCATTAGAAAAGGACAACGAATATATGAATATTGATAGTTGCAAGTTATTATAGCTAATCTCTTCATTTCCCACTGAAGAATAGTAGAATACAGCAGGGTAAAACCAGTACATGGGTCATTGCCCTTTTTCACCACCCACATCAACTCTCCAACCATTCACAAAACAATAATCTTATGCATGTAGTAGGTTCAACGTTTTAGAACATAGCATCATCAGAAGTTTGCCTGATTATTTGCAGAATAGTGTATATCTAACGTCTACTATGTTGGATAAAAGCTAAACCAAATGCCTCAGGCTGCAAGGAACTCGCAAAAGATAACCCAATCACTCCAACGAATCCAAAATTGTTACTGGAAAAACTAGTATTTTTCTTTTTTTAATTGTCATTAGCGAATTTGATTCCCTTCTCAATGGAGGATTTCAGCTCTGGCTTAAGAGCTTCAAGTCCTTGTTTCTCGAAGTCTGAAAGTGGGCCCAATCCTAGCACTTCCTCCACACCATTTTTCCCAAGTCTCACCTGAGAAGAGTAAATATAAGAGCCAACATCAGAATCAAAAAAACCGACAAGAGGTGCCTACTTTTTCAATCAATTGACCAATCAATTAACTACATTTCAGTCCCAAATTATTAGAATACTCTTTGGAGTCTATTATGGCCTATAATGCATGAAAATCATGTGAGAAACATAAGAGTCCAGCAGTTAAGAGGCATTATTTGCCAAAGAACGTGTTACAATGAAATCCTCATTGGTCTTACTGCATAAACGTCAAAGTAATAACTTTAGCAAGGCCGCCCATAATCAAAGCTAACAAAGTAAAAGCTATCTTTTGTGCATTAAGAGCCATGAGTACCTTAACTCACATAAATAAGTAATTCTTAACATTTCGAATCGAAAATTCTGTAGGATCAGACCTGTCAAAACTCACACAACAGTAATGGACAACAAGAACGAAGCGGATACCATGTCCTAGTAAATCAAAGTTTGTAAGTTTCTATTTTTTTCCTTACATCTTCTATCTCCCATTTTTACTTCATAAACAGAGAGATAACCAAATTATTCACAGACGGTTTCAACTAACGTCATCGTCTGACAGAAAATGAAGATCCATCTATAGATGGGCAAACTAGAGATATGGACACACACATATACAAAATGTCTGGTTAGAGAGGATAGCATTACCTTGGATGCAAAGAAAGGAAGGTCTGTCACAGTTGACTGCACGAATGAACACTCTACAACATCTGGAACCCCATTCAGCCCCTTCAAGCAAGCATCAGCAAAGATGGCCCCAGCATAGCTGCGGAAGTGAAAAGAATTGCTCAAAACTAAGTTATCACACTGAAGATGCGCAAAAAAAAGTAGCTTTGGACTAGTAAAAACAAAGATAAGTCTTTTTATTCTTCATTACCATAGCTTCTACTGATCTATTGAGTGGGGTAAGGTCACTTCAATAATAGATGCATGGAAACTTTATATTCAAGGTAAGACATAATCAATATTGTATGATGCTGTGGTCACTGTGCAGCATGCACTAATTCCATTTGTGGCATAAGATGGCACATGCAAAAAAGGGTCTGAACTTTGGAGTGATCATCATTAGCATTGTGAAAACCTGTTGAAATATATAGTTTTTTTTTATAAATCTTGTTGAAACATACAGAAGAAACCTAGTTATAGAGCGACCTTAACCCTCTATACAAGTGTTTGATTTGCTAGAAGCAGACGCATATGTAGGTATTCCTTGTTGACATCAGAAAATTCTTGCCAGTTGCCACCAAACAGAGAACGGTTTACTAAAACCTCAAAATCAAACTATATAGAAGAGAGGCCTGAATAGAAACATACGCCATTGAGAGGGTTGCTGAACCCTTTCCAGCCTTGGCCTCCACAACTTCAGTGCCACCATCTTGGGTTCGCTTGGTGAGTGCCTCAATTTCTTCATCTCCCAAATTTGCCTTTGGGGTGGCCTAGTTGCAACATTGTGAGATAACAATAAAGAATAAGTAAAGTTACAAGGTAGAGTTAAATCTTTAAATAACCTTAATAAAACAGAAGAAAAAAAGAATTACTTGGGAAAATAGTGGGAGGATGGTTATGCCAGCATGACCACCAACAACGGGGACAATGACGTCTAGAACAAAGTAAATTGTAAGTCGGGAGAGAACTTGACATGAATTTATGGTGCAAGTAAAATAAAATAATAGCAATTCTAAACCAGGAAGTACACTAAGATGCATACCAGCAACATTAACTTTAGCTTTTCCTGCATAGAAAGTCTTTGCCCTAACAACATCAAGTGTGGTCACTCCAAAGAGTCTCTTTTCATCATAGGTTCCAGCCTTCTTGAACACCTCAGCGGCAATTGGGACAGTGGAGTTAACAGGGTTGCTGATCATATTGACAAGCGCCTTTGGAGATTTGAGGGTAGGCAGTAGAGGAAAGATGAGAAATCAGTATTTGTTATGCCCACGGCTAAACTCATATATAAACCAATATGGGCACTTACATGAGGGCAATACTTTGCGATGGCTGTGCAAAGAGATTTAACAATACCAGCGTTAATGTTGAACAGATCATCACGGGTCATACCAGGCTTTCGTGGCACACCAGCAGGAATGATGACAACATCAGCTCCCTCCAAAGCCTGTCCTAGCTGTTCGTCTCCTGCAAACCCAGAAACCTGCCAGGAAAAACATCGATGGTCAAGGAACTGCAACGGCCAGGGAATAGGATCAGACACTGAGGTCGTTTAGTGTGTGGACTGCAAGTGGGATAAAAAGTATTCCACCGTTTCGCTAATTGTGGAGAGGATTACATCACCATGAGTAAAGTTAGGGGTCTTTTGGAGATCCATATGGGTGAAAATATACCCCAACTAACTTCTGCATTAGTTGTTCAGTGTTTGGTTATCATTTTTACTCTCTGTATTCACAATATCCGCATTAATTATGTAGTTACTCCCACATTACTGGATACCAAATTCAACAAGGATTGACCTCACAAGTATTAGCAATAACTGCATAAAAACACATAAATCAGGAAAAAATAACTTCATATATAACTTCTTCAGTTAACCATCTCTGACTAGTTATCTCTCTTTATATTTCGAGCAAACTTGGTACATTTGACTATTAAAGCAATAAAAACACCAAGCGGTTAATCAACTATACCTCAATCTGTAACTAGCAGGACTCAACGACATATATCCTCCAGATATCTTGCTCTATTTGGGTCCATTTCATTTTAATATTAATTCTTCTATGGTAAATTAGGAGTTCCTAAAATTAAAAGTTCTCAAATTAACACTTATTCCTATCCAAATTTAAAGCAAGTGTGACAATGAGTAAGACTTAATCCAGCCTGTTGGTATCTCTTAAGTGTATCTTTTCTTTTTATTGTGCTATTCTCTTAGATACATATGTATCGATTTGAGAGAATGCAAGTCTTTTCAAGCAACTACCCCATCTCCTTTTAGCACCCTCAATCACCAGTGTCGCAAATAAAAACTAGCTGCGTGTAGGTTTATGTAGGGCATAGCCTGACCCATCTGTGGCAATTGCAACTTTCAATTATTTTATCCTTTGTGTGATACTTGCACTTTTTGCCCGACAATTCTTTATGTCCATTTTTATATGACCACATCCACCTTAGCATTCACATATAAAGTTTCAACGACGCTTATCTTGTGTATATGACAGGCATTAGTGACCCATTTTCACACAATATAACATTGATGATCCCACAACCATTCTATTGATGAAGAAAATCATTTTAAATATGTTGTCATCTATGGGAATCGAACCCACAACCACGTGGTTAAAATCTGTCTCACAATCATTTTATAAAATTACCTTTCAGTTTGTTAGGTATTTTCCCATTGCTCAAGATCCTCATAGCAATCTTTCACTTTAATCATCATATTTCAAATCAACTTACTACATTTCTTCTATCATATCATTCTCTTAGAAGATTAAGTGACACCACGATCTTTTCCAGTCTCACTTCATTCTCTTAGAAGATTAAGTGACACCACGATCTTTTCCAGTCTCACTTCACCTTCATCCTTCTTATGGGAGCTAGACGTGCATATACTATGCCATACTTCTATTTATTCTAAAACCCCTATTCAGTAGAATGCTTCGCGATAGTTCCTACTTTTAAATAACTCCTCGCTAGTAAATTTTCATCTTGAGAAGAGGAATGTAATATTTCTCATATTTCCACATACATTATCTTAAATTTCATCTTAAAATTGTATACTTTATATGAGTTTTGATTCTTGACAATTATACAAGGATTATAGTCTAGTGATTCTAGTTCTAATAATAAACACTGGAGTACATGTAGTTGTGATTGAATGTTTGATTAGACATTGTAAATCTAAAAATACGAGTATGATCTAATACACATGTTTATATAAAAAGTGATAAAAGTTTGTTTTGATAATTCTTGGCCTATTATAATTTAATATTTTGCTTATCATCATACCTGACAAACATTACTAGCGATATGATAATAATTGAAATAAAACTCGAAGAAATAAGAGTTACAGATTCACACAAACATAGAAACTGAATTCTCAAAGGATACTGATGAATCAGAGCAGTTGAAATTCTGGAGCTTAAAAAGTGAGAAACACACACTCAAACACATATCACGAAGAGCGTAAAATACGGATCAATGCCAGTTCGAACGGTTAATGATGTAAAACCCTAGAAATGAGTAAATCAGATAGAACACAAATTAAAAAACGATTACAGCAGAAAACTCCATAAATACTTGGAAGAAAAAAACTCAGTAAATGTAACGCAGTAAAAGACGAGAATTACAGCAGTAAAGGTCTAGATAGAGCAGAGAGTAAACCTGAGATCTGGTGTTGATGTGGCTGACATCAGCGGCAACACCAGGGGTACCGGCAATATCGTAAAGTGAGAGTTGTGATACTAAAGGATTCAGCTTCATAAGAAGTGATAGAGGCTGCCCGATCCCACCAGCTGCCCCTAAAATAGCTACTTTCCGGTCAGGAGCGGACTCCGACGCGAATCCCCGGCGCGTGAGGTATGCACCGGTGGTCGAGGTTCTGCGGACGATAGATCTCAACATAGCTGAAATAATTGGTTGGTTTGTGATGAAGAAAGGAAAAGGTAAAGGAAAAGGAAAAGGAAAAGGAAAAGGCTACGGCGGAGAAAATGCGAGTCGAAAATGAAAATGTTCAAAGTGGAGAAGATGAGGAGAGCATTTATTGGCGATAGATTCGTGAGTTTTGAGGAGTTGGTCTCCTTTTTTAGAGTGTAGTTATCTTACGCTAAATTTTTATGCTTGTAGTAAGATTTTGACTACAGCAAATCCAACTTGAAAAAGTTTACTGTTTATGCTAAAATTATTAATTAGTCGTAAAAGTATACATTAATCACAATTAAGTGAAAAATACACCATGTCAGTCATTAGTTGACTGAGTGAGTTGAAAAGCAAAGGGCAGAGGAAGAGAAGATGATTGATGAATTAGAATCATGCAAATTATGTCTGTAGGTAATTGCAACCAATAGACTATTAACTCCAATTTACAAGCTTGTACTCGGTATCTAGATCCATTAGTTTTCTGATATTTTAGTTGTTTCTTTTTCTTCTTTTTTTTGGTTTTGGTATACTTCATTTCATCTTTTCCTAGTTCACCACTAGCATCGTAGCACATGAAGCATATTCCTTTTCTTGATCAGTCCCAATGAAGCATATTCTCTGTACATATCGTTGCTCACGCTTTCATACCGGACCTAGTTCTCATCTTAAAGGTAAAAGGTTAGCCCAAGTGGTGATTGATTTTTCACTTTCTTTCAGAAAATAACTCCTTTTAGATATAAAAAAATAAAAATAAAAATAAAAATAAAAAAATCAGCAGTTGATAGTCCTGCACTAGCGCATCATTTTTCTCGTATTTTTTTTGAAAATGGTGGTGTCGGGATTAATCCTCGACTATTCCACTAGGCATCTTTCTTTAATTGTAATAGCCAGAAAGAGAGAACACAACTTCTTAACCACAGTAATTTTCATCGACATCATAGTATCTCCGCTTGCAGTGGCATTTACAAAGTGACATGGGACAACCTTTTGTTGGTCCTTTGGTTAACCCGCCTTGTCCAAAAAATCTGATACCCATTGTAATGCGAGTACTTCAATGCAGAAGATATAGAACTTAAGTGCGTATTATCTGGCTCACATCAAAAGATGAGACTTTGGTGTGGGAGTGGGAGGCCAGCAATATGTTGATGTGAGCTGGACACTAGAAATGAAATACAATATTCCAACAACATGCTCTCCAAATCCTCAAGCATGGAAAACGTATGGTTTTCTGGCTGATAGAAGTTCATGTACAGAATCCTACATTTACAAAAAAAAAAATCTCAAAGTACAGATTGACGTCGAGCCAACCACAGCCCGATGCCTCATCAGCTGCTACCCTCTCTTCATCCATAACAACCTCAACCTTCGTAACACAACAGATGTAGAGAAAGATAACTCTCTTAAAAGTGTTGCCTGAAGGGGTTCCCCAGAGTACTGCACACAGTAGAGTCCACAGTCTTTAAATCCAAAAAATAAGGAAAAGGTAGTGATCAAATCCAATTATTAAATACTAAAAAGTAGTAGAAATTATCTCCATAAGCTAACCTCCACAAAAATGTGAACAACTCAAAGCAATCTAGCTTTTGGTTAACAAAGAAGACACAGTGGCTTCACCATACATTGTCCTTATCCAGTCTAGAACATCCGCACAATCCTCACGCCCAATGAAATGCCTTCACGTGCAGATAGATACCTCAGCCTAGGAGCAAAAGAGAGAAAAGCTATATTTTAATATTTTCAAGTTCATACCTATTTCTAGTACGATAGGCCTTCAGTTCTGCTACTTGGCGGGGGTTTCTAATATCTTTCTTCATACGAAGTGACTCAGGCACCTGGAGATGGCTTTCCTGACTGCTGTATGAATCACATATGAAGCTTAGCACCTTTTCCTGGTAATGGCATTTTCAGATGTCAGCAGAAGAATATTGAGGAGCTTCATGCTATTTGGAGATGAGGCATTACGAAAGGTAGGCTAAATAATTAAACTATTATTCAGAGGGAAAAGAGACACGATTGCCTCTGCACATAAAGGCGTGCAATTCATCTTTTGTTGCATTGCCCTGTATCCTTAGCTTTGTGGAGGGCAATCCTGAATCTTTTTGGTGTTCAATGGGTGATGCCAAGCACTGTAAAGGAAATGTTATATAGCTGGGCCGGTTTCCGTAGAAGAAGAAAGCAAAAGGCGTGGAAGTTCGCCCCGTTAGCTCTCATGTGGATAGTTTGGGGGAGAGAAATAGGAGAGCTTTTGAGGGGATTGAGTCTCCTTTTTCACATCTTAAGAATAGTCTTTTATCTTTGATCGCTTTTTGGTGCACTCATATAACCCCTACTTGTATAGAAGATTGGGCGTCTTTTGTAGAGAATCATGTTCTGATGTAAATTCTCTACTTTTTAGTATACTTCCTGTATACGGGAGTTCTCTCCCTTTTGATTAATACAATTTACCTTATCAAAAAAAACAAATACATTTTCCTCGATAAAAGGGGAACCTGGAAGTAATCTCATACTAACTCCAATTCACAGAATTCTTATTATGCTTACAATTGTCACTTCCTATAATTTGTGCTAATGGCATGCTGCTTTGGGAGAAGAAAAGCCCTAAGGCAAGAAGAAGCGTCTACAACCAAAACAAGTCATTGTGAAACTTATATTCCCTCTATGATGAAATCAATTTGAAAGAAAATCTTCCCACAATATGGTTATTATTGCTTTGAAAAGGATTCATCATTATTCTGAACCTTTCAGAATCAGCCTTAATATTCACACAATGACAAAATACCGAAAATGCAACTATGGCATACACAAAGAGATGCGTGCACACATCTGCTTGCGTGAATGTATGTATATGATAGTTGCAATAAAAGGAATCATGAGCAACTATTAAAACCCAGGAAAAGCTCAGCTACTGCATCCAGAATGAAGAGAAATGTCAACTTGATAAAAGTTCTATTAACAAAGAGAAAGGCATAGAAATTCCTTAGGAACAGAAATGACATACCAAAGGTTTAGAAGCATCTATCCACTCATAAATCTGTTCATTGCGAAACCAAGTCATCTGCCTTTTTGCAAAATTTCTGCACAAGAATGTAAGAATCAGTCAAATAACTTACAAATTGCAAACAACTATATTCTAGACAATCCAATTAAATCAAGAAAACCAGTGAAAGCTCCCCAAGTCTATGAAAAGGACCAGACTGGAGTCAGAGTAGGCAGATTTAGGCAGCAGTACCAACAGCTCCTGACATTTGCACCCATAATCATAGTGCTCTTTTCTTCTCTTGATAAGTGACAATAGTATCATGAAGTGCGGAAGTGATCAGGAGACAAGAAAGTGAGGGTTAAGTAGAAAAATTGTCTTCAACATTGCTGCGGGAGACATGCTTAAATTCTATCAAGAATAGCTTGTGTAACTCTCGGCAGAAAAATTGTCTTCAACACTGCTGGGGGAGACAAGCTTAAATTCTATCAAGTATAGTTTGTGGAACTCTCTGCTGGCCATGACAAATAGTGTACAATGACTACAACACGGAAGCATCCAGAAAGAAAGTGTGACACTAGAGAGAGAAGAGCATTGCAGAAAATTGCTACATCTAAATGCCAAGAAAGAAAGGTTGTCCTATTATGTGATATAATATAGTCACAAGAGAACGTAAAACCACCTAGATGCTTTCTGGAATTCAGATAAAAACTCATAGAAGTCCCCAGCAGAATTCCAACTTCCATATTCTCTACATCTTAGAAGGTATTCCATTGCCTGAAAGATTTTAAACAAACACATATTAGGACACAAACTATTGTTTTTTGTTCAAGTTACAGGGACGAAACTATACTTGTCGGTAACCAATTGCTCGAGTAGCAGAATTTGAGTTTGGCAAAAGACCCAAATCAAGAAGCCACCTTGCCTCAGATAGAATTCCATCTGTTCCTGCAGCATGCCACCATCATAACGAATTAACTAGGATCAAGGTATTCCAATTGAAGTTGTTAAGGAACTAGAAAAGAAAGATCTTATTTGAAGCTAAGATTGGTATTTCAAGTTGCTAGAGAAAAGTACAAGAGATAACTATTATAAGAAGAATTAACCTCTATTGACGAAATAACCTCAGAATGTCACCAATACTTATTTGTATTTGATAACTCATTGTTCACTATCCAACTTCCAAGTCGAAAATGTTTCTACAGTTCTTCAGAAGAATATTTTCTGATAGGTATATCCTCAGATGATAGATAATTAGCCCTAGGTATCATGATAACAATATAAATCTTAAGACAGAAAACAATGTTCCGCCACGAAGGCTTTTGAATAATGATAAGGAAAAGCAGTTGTTCAAGCAGCATTTGCCATACTTCGAGATGATAATTTTTTTTAGATTAGTTCAAGAATTAGTATTGTGATTGAGAGTTCTAAGATCTCCAAAGAATGATTAAAGCAAGCAAATAAATCATACAATTTCATTAATCTTTTACCTAAAAGCATATCTTCACACCGGAAATCAATGGACCTATAGAGATCCAGCCTATTGGTGGAAAGGAAATAACAAAGAAAATCATACTCCAAATCCTTTTTGTTACTCTGCTGCAATTTGTCAGCAGAATTCTTGACATCAGCAGCATCTGCTACACCTGAATCAAGCTGTCCTCTGAAAGAATTATATGGTACTTCAAAGGCTGATGGAGGTGACCCACTAGACTGCAAGCCGAAAAGTATACTTAGCATTTTTATCAAGAGATAAACTGAACAGGCTACGACAAAATGGACTGACAGTTGAGCACATCCCAATCCATCTCAACTACTTCATAACCACAAAGAGCTCTTGCTAAACCAATAAAAGTTCTCGCTACAAGCATAGCAACAGTTGACAAGAAAAACATGGATTTTCCCTGCAAGCACATTAGTAAGTGATAAATCATGGCAGAGAAATCTCTAATTTCTACCATATCATACAAAACATGATCTAGCTTACAAAAAAATTGTCTTGCTTGCATCATCCAAAATTGCCAACGGGTGTGTGTCGGATCCTCCAAAAGTTGCATTGGTGGAGGATCAACACGGGTGCGGCAGCATTTTGGAGGATCCAAGCAACATAGCAGAAAAGGGGTCCAAATCAGAGGGATCACAGGTGAAAGTTACACTTTTTCATAATTACCTTAATAATTTCAAGCCTGCGGCGCAAGCGATACCAGTCATTTGCCGCTAAAGACTGGGCA